CTGCCCTCCCCGCACAGCCCGGCACTTCGGGGAAGGGGCGGGGTGTGTCCCCGCGTGCCATCTGAGGAGGGCGGCCGCGGCGGGGGGGCGAGTGGGGCGTGAGTTATGGCGCAGGAGGCGCTGGTGAGGTGAAGGGTCCGTGAAAGGTTCTGCTGCTCCCCAGGATAGAGGTGGGGAGCTAGCTGCAGGCACGCACCTCCCCCCTTCACCAGGGGCTGGGTGAAGACTGGCTCCGCTCAGCTTGTGAATGCGGGGCTTTTGTCCCTCACCTTTCCTGTGGAAAGGCCTCTCCTGGCTTCATGCCTCAGTGTGATGGCGCCGTGTTACCAGGCAGGTGCATGTCCTCCTCACACACAGCTCTCCTGCTTGCCTCCTCCTGGAGAGGTGTTTCCCCAGGCGCCCAAAACTCTGGTAGTGTTAGTGTGGGAAGCAGCTGCACTGCAGTCTGAGGGGGTCTTGAGAGGCCTTGATACTTGGGTGTACAGGTCCTGTGCCTATCCTGAGAAAATTAACGCTTGTCCTAGAAATGCTGGAGGAAGAGACAGTGACTGCATTTGTGTCTTCCTTTTAGCTGTTGTTTAAAATGTCTTAGGTCCTCAGAGGTGTTGTGCATGATGTTCCTTTGGTATCATGCTGATACAAAACCTGCTGCTATTTTATAGGTGGCATTTTGCAAATCTTGGGCATCAAATGATTCGGTACCATGCAGTTGCAATCTTGGTTCTTAACTTCCTTTATGTTGAGCGGCAAGGTCCAGTCTCTGCAGGGCCTGAGGGTTTTATTGCTGTACAAATACATGGTAATAAAGAACACTGTCCGGGGCATATGCAAACATCTTAAATGCTGTTTACGCAGCTACATTGCACAGACAATAGAATTAACCTTCTGTCCTAAGCCACAGGCCTGTGGAGCTTAAATGGGAATGTACATTAGCTGTTGCTTATGTCATCTTTGCTCTATGTCAACTACTGCTAATAGAAGCTAATCAGTCACAAACATATCAGTAAGACTGATTTCTTCCAGCAGAGGACAGTGGTGCATATAAGCACTTGACAATATCTTGCAACCTTTATACCCTCTTGTCTTCCCAAGTTCGAGTATGAAATGCTGAGTGGTTCAGAATCAGGTGGAAGATAATTTATCCAATAAGAAAATGTTTATGATGGTTGTTCCGTAGCACTAATTTTGTAATATATTTATATTTTAAATGAGTTAAATTAACGGAAGGTTCTTCGTAAGAAGAACCAGTTGAGAGATACCTTCAGCAGATACTGATCAACAGTTACCTGCACAATATAGCTTAGTTTAATTAGTTTGTCACACTCCTTTTCTTGGGGAATATCCCTCCCTTGTATATCAAAGTGTGACCAAGACAAAATTCCTTTCCAGTGAAGAAGAACTGGCCACAAGCCATCTCGGACATGTGGAGAATGAAAGAACATCGGAGTGACCCTTTTCCTTCTCTCCTGTTGTGAACCTCTTCACACATGAGATAACCTAATGTAAAGCCTGTATAGCAGTCTTTAAGCCAATGGAATAAGTAAGAGTTTTTGATAATTTTGATATGAAGAAAACCCCATTGTCTTTTGGACTTAGCGGGGGCCTATGCAATGTATTGTGATGTAGAATGCATTTCAGGCTGAAGCTTTAGTACATGACACTTATTTCTGCAACAAATTTATTCCTTTAACAATTGTCCTCTGTGAACTCTGGATTTAATTCTTATTTGATGCTTTGTAGGGATTGACAGATCATTTCAACCCAGCTACGAGGATAGGTTCTGAATATAGCTCTAAAATGTTTTTACTGGTATAGAAGTGGTAAGTTTTGGATTATTTTACTTTCTTTTAAGCCAGTTATCCTGATGTAATAGAAGATTTCATAAATAATCACCAAGAAGTTAAAACCTTATGAATATTAAAATCATGTTACTTAAAGCCTTACGCTGCCTTGATTGCACAGACTTCTGCCCTTCGTGCATATTATTTAAAAGGGAGTAGACAGCACAAAGGGGTAGAAATCCACTTTCCACATCCCAAACAATTCCCCTAGAACTCTTAGCTGTATGGGTGTTGTCTTACATAGAGAGGAGGATTGGAAAGTGCCATTGTTTGTGATTTAAATTGTCTCAATGCTATTTTAATTCCTTTCCCAGAAAAAATCCTATTAGAAAGACCTTTTTCTTTGCAACCCTGTGCCAGTGACCAAGTAGGTAATAAATGAAAGCTCACACATCGATATACAGGAAGCTGATCAATCACAGACGAGCAGGGAATAATTGCCTTTCCCAGCAGCTTACTTTGAGGTAGGAAAGGCTACATATTTGTTCATTATGTACCCTGGGCAGCAGCCTCTACTTTGCAGTGTGTTTATAGATCATGCTGTGGCTTGGAATAGGAAAATATCTCCAGCACTGCATAAAGATTTGTACAATGATAGTTCCGTACTAGCTATGTAGACTTCTGTCTTAGAGAGGGTAGACTCGGGGGACAGTTTTCTCTGAGTCTGAGTTTCTTATTACTGTAGGAATTTAACCAATGCCTGAGAGGAAATTGGAATTTTGTAGAGGACAAAACCCCAACAGCATATCATTTAAGCCATAAACATGCAGTCAGTCCCATTTATTTGAAAGAAGATCCCTCTGAATTTCAGTTTATAGGGTCTGAGCTCTAAATTCTGCTTTCTTGCAAGCCATGTTTAGCACACATACTTAGTCCTTTTGTGGACTGTGAGATCTCCTTTTGGTATAGCAGGGAATGGGGTATTCAGACTGGGGTGTTTGTTAGATACCTCACAGGCTGCCTTGCAGTGTCTTATTTCAGCATGTGAAATAAGGAACAGGCAGGAACCTCTGTTAGGTTTTGAAGCGGAGGGTGTGGCTTTTGAAAGAGTAGATCAGTAGTCTATCAGATAATCAGACATTGCCCTACAGGGAAGAGTAATGAAGAGGATGGTTAAGTTTGGAAGCAAACTATGGTAAGGGATGTTTTCCAACTTTTAGGCCCCTAAGATCACCCATGCACCTTGAAAGCCTTTTTTCCTTTACAGGTATAAAGAGAGACATTTTCTTCTTTTTCTGCAACTTTCAACTAATAAGGGCAATGATTTTCAGCCTGGGCTATTGATTCAATTTGTTTATCTACCAACAATGGGAGATGGCAAATACAAAAAAATGTACCTGATCTTGTAGATTGGAAAAGGGTATTTCTCTTGACCACAGGAGACAGCATTTATGGAGCTAATAGAGCTGCCTTGTATGATCTGCTGACTATGTGTGCGTGCATGCATGCAGTGATAGATTGGGTAATACGAAGGGCCTCATGGTTTGA